CCCCCCCCACATCCCCGGGGGGTGGGGTGGGGTGGGGAAGAATGTTAGTCCAGCAAGCATGAAGGCCTACATTCCGTCCACTGCAAACAAACAGGCCTGTCTATGAAGAAGAGCCATCCTGCCCTTGGTATATACCTGCCAGGCCTCCTCTTATCTCCCAGCCCCCAATTGTCAGCACCTGCTGCCTCCTCTCACTCACTCCCACTTCCCAGTCCCCTGGGATTCTGCTCCCTGTTGACCTTATGGGCAAATTCCTGCTTTATTCTTAGTCGCCAACTGCCTTGACCCTGAATAGTATTTGGCACTGGCTGGCTGGCATTTCTTGGCCATGGGCAGAGGATTCTGCTAGGTTGGTGAAACACTTCCTCTTTAAATGGGAAGAATAGCTATAAAGGGGGGCATCTCTTCTAAAGATTTTAGTTTTGTTTCTGTATATGTCTGTGTATGTCTGTGCCACACATTTTCAGGTGCCCAGGGTCTAGAAGAGGGTGTCAGATCCCCTGGAGCTGAAGTTACAGCTGCCTGACATGGGGGAAGGGAGCACTGGGAACCAAATCTTGGCCCTCTTACTGCTGAGCCGTCTCTCCAGGACCAAGGAGCATTTTTCTTTTCTTTTGTTTTTTTGAGATAAGGTTTCTCTGTGTAGCCCCAGCTTTCCTGGAACTCACTCTGTAGACCAGGCTGGTCTCAAAGATCTCCCTGCCTCTGGCTCCTTCGAGTGCTGGGATTAAAGGTGTGTGTTACCACCACACAGCTAAAAACTTATTTTAATGTTAAAAAATTTAACCTTTATTTTTATTTTATGTGTATGGGTTTTTTGGAGGCATGAATGTGTACCGCTAGTGTGTGTCTGGTGTCTTTGGAGGCCAAAAGAGGGTATCTGATCCCCTGGGATTGGAATTACAGCAAGCTGCTATGTGGATACTGGGTATCAAAACCTGGGTTCTCTGCAACAAATACCCTTAAAGCTGAGACATCTCTCCAGCCTCCAGAAGTGTAAAAGTTAAAAAAAAAAAAACAGTCAGGTGTCAGTGGCACACACCTTTAATCTCAGCACTTGGGAGGCAGAGGCAGGCAGATCTCTGTGAGTTTGAGGCCAACCTGGTCTTCAGAGAGAGTTCCAGGACAACCAGCAGGGCTGTCACACAGAGAAACCCTGTCTCAAAATACCAGCCAAACCAACAAACAAAACACCAAAAGAAAAACAAGTAACAAAAAGCCAAACCAAAAAACCAAACCAAAACAAAAAACCAAACCAAAACAAAAAAACTGGCCAGGCAGTGAGATGGCTCAAGGGGAAAAGGTATTTGCCGAGACCCCAACAATCTGAGTTCAGCCTGTGAGATCCTCGCTGTAGAATGATCTCTGTGTACACTGTGAAGATGCATCTTTGCCAAGGCCCCTTCTGATCTGTTTAATAAAGAGCTGAATTGTCAATAGCTAAGCAGGAAGAGGGTAGGTGGGACTTCCAGGCAGAGAGGAGAGAGAACCCAGGGGACAAAGAGAAGAAACAGGAGGTACAAGATGGAAGTAAAAAGCCAGACTCCAAAGCTACACAGAGAAACCCTGTCTTGAAAAACAAAAAACAAAAACATCAACATAGTCCCTGACCCACAGATTTTACTCCCAATGAATATGGAAACAAACCCACACTAACCTTGTATACAAATGTTACAGCAGCAGCACCTGGAACAGCTAAAAAGTAGAAACAATTCTAAAGGTCCATCAACTGATGAAGAAATAAAATGTGGTGTATCTCATACAACATAATACTATTCATCCACAAACAGGGTATCAAGATATAACAAGGGACCAGAAACAACGTGCTGAATGAGAGAAGCCAGCGACAAAAGCCCACATGCTGTATGATTGCATTTAGAAGAAATGTGCAGATTAGGCAAATTCATAGGAGTTTAGAGGCTGCCAAGGACTGGGGGTGGTAAAACAGAAGAAGGGGCAAAGAATGTGGGGCAGGATTTCTTTGGGGAGGTATTACATACATCCTAAAATTGTTTTGAGACAGGATCTCATTTAGCCCAGCTTGGCCTCTGGTTCTCTATGCAGCCTGAGGTGACCTTGAACTTCTGATTCTGCTGCCTCCACCACAGAGTGGTTATGCCTCTGTGGCAGGTTCCTGCCTGGCCTCCTTGGAGGCCAGAAGAGGGAATTAGATCCCCTGGAACTGGAGGGATTACAGGTGTGTGCTACCACGCCCAGAGAGCATGCTCTAAAATTGTTAGTGGTGATGTCTGTACAACTCTGTGAACATACTACAAACCACTAAATTGTTTGCTTTAAGTGGGCAAAGTATATATTATGTGAAATTATATTCCAATAGAGCTCACTGAAAATGAGAACATGAACTAGGAGTGGTGACTGGATGCTTGTAATTTCAGTACAGGGCTACCCCATCTCAAAAAGAAACAACAAACAAATTAAGAGGCAGAAGAGACGGTGCAGTGGCTAAGAGCACTGGCTGTTCTTCCAAAGGACCTGGGTTCGATACCTAACACACACATGGAAGCTCACAATTAACTCCAGTGGCCCTCTTCTGACTCTGTAGGCACTGTATTTAAGTGGTATACAATCATACATACATGAAGGCAAAACACTCATTCAAGCTGAGCAGTGGTGGCTCACACCTTTAATCCCTGCACTCAGAGGCAGTGGCTGGTGGATCTTGTGAGTTCTAGGCCAGCCTGGTCTACAGAGCAAATTCCAGGACAGCCAAGGATACACAGAGAAACCCTGTCTTGAAAAACAAACAAACGACCCCCCCCACTCATTCACATAAAATAAAAATAAACAAATAATTCTTGTTTTCTTTTTGGACAGGGTCTCACTCTGTAGTTCTTGTTGTCTTGGAACATCATATGTAGGTCAGGCTGGCTTCAATCTCTGAGAGATCCACTTACTTCTGCCTCCCTAGTGCTGAGACTAAAGATGTGTCCATGCCCATTTTAAATGAATCTTAATCTCCCCACAAAAACATAGAGTCAAATGTGATGCCACATGCAACCCTGTCTCCAAAAAAAAAAAAAAAAAAAAAAAAAAAAAATCCGCTAGGTAGCCCACGACTTAAATTCCAGAACTTGGGAGGCAGAGGCAGAGGCAGGCGGATCTCTATGAGTTCGAGGCCAGCTTGGTCTACAAGGCGTGTTCCAGAGCAGCCAGGAACTGGCTACGTTGTTACACAAGGTTGTTACACAAGACTGTCTCGAAAAACAAAAAATAGTAAAAATTAAAAACAAACGGAAATAAGTGGCTAGGGTGGTTGTGCACACCTTTAATCTCAACACTCGGGGTGGCAGAGGCAGGGGGATATCTGAGTTTGAGGCCAGCTTTGTCTACAGAGTGAGTTCTGGGACAGCCAGGGCTATGAAGTGAGACTCTGTCTCAAGTAAAAGAATTCACTTGCTTCAAGGATCCTCCAGGGGCCTAATACACGACTGCTTATCGCCCTCCTCACCAAGGGAAAACTGAAGCGGATTGAGGAATCCTGTTTCAACTCTCACTAATCCAGGGAGTCCCATGTTCATCCCTGCTCTGGGACCGATCGCTTTTCCACTGTGGAACTACATTTTCTAAGAGCGGCCAGGATGAGGGCGACACGTTGCAGGGCATGCTGGGAGATGTAGTTCAGCTTCCAACTCAGGGAGTCCAGAACGCTCTATTAATGATTGGCAGAAAGCCGGGGTGCGAAACCTTATCCTGTGTCCTTCCGAACTTCAAATATCCCACCCACACCAAGGGATATTAGCGACGCGACCCCACACCGCCTGCAGCTCACCTCAGAAACGGTTATCCAACCCGTCGTTGCTTCGACTGTGTCCCTAACCGGAAAAGACTACTGTTTTCTTCCACCCCACTCCTCCCACTTCCGCTCGGCAGTAGAAACCGGAAATAATACTGCCCCTAGTTGCGGAGGTGCTTTGCCTGGCTTGGTAAGTCGTTTCTTCTCTTCCAGAGCCCCCCCCGGAAACGTGAGTGACAACTCAAAGGTTCCGCAAAGCGAAAGTGGCTTGAATATAGGAGACCGCTTAGCCCGTGGCAGAGTGGGTCAGTTGCTTTAAGCCTCTTGAAGTCCGAGTTTAAGAACTAACTCCTTCGCCCAGAGATTCTGATACCCACTTTCCCAAATATATGCTATTTTTTCGTTGCATCTTAAGAGAAGATTAAGTGAGAACTCTTCTTTGCAGATATTATAGAAAGCAGTAGTCAAAAGATCACGAGACCAAGCTGTTCAAGTCACTTTCAGAAAACGGATTTACTGTGGTACCGCGCAGTTATTCTAGGATCCAAAACATTCAGTTCCCACCAGTTTGTAGATCTCTAGAGACCCAAGGTTTATTTTCCTGACTCTGCCAAGCAAACTGTTTGCAGGCAGAGACCCAGACCGGGAAAGAGGAGAGGAGGAGATTCTGATAAAGTCCCCTAGATCCCTCTATACCGTAGGAAACAAAGTTTTGCTTCTATGTGGGGCTGTGTCCCTGAAGCCCTTGGTCCTAAGGTTCCTTTAAGTACTTTGTCCCTTACCTGAGTCCCTCCCAGAGTAGGTAATCAGTAGCCCCGCCCCCTGTCAGAAGCCAGGATCCCGGCCTAGTTACCGAAATGAGGCACCCCTCCTCCCTCTCCCCACCCTCTCCCCTACCCCTTTTCACAACTGGTTCCTGCTGACTCAGGGGGTCTTCATTAAAGAAGAGAGGCAGGGTTCCCAGGTCTTGGCAGGTAAGTGAATAATGCTGTCAGAGAAACTTGGGGGGTGGAGTGGGGGGGGGCTCTTATGTGCTGACTGGCCACACCATTGGGATCTAGAAACTTGGGACCCTAAGCCCCTAAGTCCTGGAGTCCAGGACCCCCTGTCCCCTCAAGCCTTCAGACCTCGAAACTTAGGATCTCGTCTGTCCTGTAATCTTTGATCTCTGAGGGTGGATGAGGTCACGAGCAGAGGGAGGTTGACTTGGAATGGAATCTACCAGGTTGGAAGGGATCAGGACTGAAGAGGAATCTGTGTGAATGCTTACTGTGTGTTAGACCTGTGATGGGTACTGCAGATACAGGAGAGGTATAAAAGAGAGCACACCAACTTTGTGTTCATCATTGGGAGGGCCCTGTCATCTCTGAGTTCCTGGTACAATAGGCAAGTAACTTTACCTCCTAGTTACACAATTTCCCCATCTGTAGAATGGCAGGAGTAATTGGATGGTTTTGAAAATTAAGAGGAGTTGATACAGACCCACAGTGTCTAGCATGGGACACGGGCTAAGAGCTGGCTTTTGTTTCATTCACTGACTGCAGAGTCCAGGCAGGGAGTCCTTGCCTCCCAGCTCTGCTGCTGAGGCATTTGTCATTTGGGAGTGTACACAATATGAGGGGCCACCCTTCCCTGCTCTTAGTCTACATGGGATTGGCCACCTGCCTGGACACCTTACCTCATGGAGAGCAAAATCAAGGTGAGTGTTTGTGGGAAGAGCCTTGCAGAGGTTCAATTTCTGTCTTCCTCTATCCAGGATACTTCCTGGCTTCCCAGGCCCCAACCCTTCTCCCTCAGATACAGGAGTTCAGGCCCCAGCCTCTTCCCTCAGACCCACAAGTCCAGGTCTCAACCTTCCTTGCTCAGAAATAGATTTTCTTTCTTTCTTTCTTTCTTTCTTTCTTTTTTTTTTTTTTTTTTTTTTTTTTTTGGTTTTTCGAGACAGGGTTTCTCTGTGGCTTTGGAGCCTGTCCTGGTACTCACTCTGGAGACCAGGCTGGCCTCGAACTCACAGCGATCCACCTGCCTCTGCCTCCCGAGTGCTGGATTAAAGGCATGCGCCACCACCGCCTGGCTTAGAAATAGATTTTCATACTCCAGTTTTCCTCCCTCATTCCCAGTGGTCCAGACCCCTGGCCCTCCTCCTCACACCCTCAGAAACCCACAGCTCTTTATCTTCTTTGTCCTCACTTCTAAGGATTCTCTGTTTTGACCCCGATGTCCTTAGTTCTTGATATCTTCCTGGATCCCCCGAAGGCCCAGAGTTTCCTAGTTGGCCACAGGCGGATTCCACGGGCTAACCATTGGGACCTGGAGTTGCTGACTCCTGGGAACCTGGAACGGGAGTGTCAGGAGGAGAGGTGCTCCTGGGAGGAGGCCCGGGAGTACTTTGAGGACAACACATTGACGGTGAGGACAGTGAGGGCCCTCTGCCTTCTCCAGGTGTTAAGGAGAGCTGGCATCCAGCTTTCACCTCCCTCTTACCTCCCTGGGGTTTCAGACATCAGGGTGGACTGATTGTGTGTGTGTGTGTGTGGTTACATGTTTAGTTGCGTCTTTTCCCTTCTCTTCCCCTCCAATCCTTCTAGGAACGCTTCTGGGAAAGCTATGCCTACAATGGCAAAGGAGGTGAGTGGTACTCAGCCCTCTTGCTCCATGTTGGGGAAGCAGCCCTTAGCCCTGGAATTCAATCCAAAGTCCCTCTACACATACAGGGACCACCTTCTCTCAAATCCCATGCTGCCCAGAGATGACTGACAAGGCGTCCCCTCCTGTTTCCTTATGACCCTTGTTTGAGAAATCCAACACAACTGCATTCACATTTATAGGAGGACCCAAGTCCCCAGGAGGGGAGCATGTGGGTGGGCAGATGGAAGAAAGGGTTATTGTCATGGGGCCTATCAGAAGGACAAATTCACCTGGGACCTTCTGTAGATCCAGAGCCCAGATCTTTACAAGCATCTTGGTTGCTAGTGGGGCTGTTCCCTAGCAACAAAGCTAGGGCCTGAAGCCTGGCCATCTCACCTGTCCAGTTTGCCTACACCAGCCCCTCCTCTGAATTCTGAAGCCCTCATCTTGGCTTGAGTCTTGTTGCTAAGGGGGGGCTGCTCCTTAGCAACAGGGCCCTGGCCAGGCCAGACAGGAAGACAGAAGCACTACCTGGCTGGCTTCCCCTCCCCCAAAGCCCCATGCCAGCCACAGCCTGCCTGGTTGCTAAGGAGGCCTTCTTCCTAGCAACCGTACCTAGCTGGAGGACCAGGGCCTCCTGCCTAGCTGGAGGACCCCCCTCTGGGCACCAGCTGCCCCACCCCCTCATGGCCTGGTTGCTAGGGGTGGATGCCCCTTAGCAACAGGCCCTTGGTCTGTACTGGAGTACTCACCACTCCAGTTGCTAGGGGAGATTGCTCCTTTTCTACAATCCTAGCAAGGACTAGTGGCTACTTGGATCACCTGAAATCTGCCAGACTTTGGAGCGCTGTCTTCTCACTGCAAGCTAAAAGCAAGGTTGGAGGTGGAGATGGGTGGTAACCAGATTCGATGGTCCAGGCCTTGGCCTTGCAATCCCAGCTACTCCAGAGGTTAAAGCAGATTGTGAGTACAAGGCCAGCCTCTGCTACATATCAAGTTTGAGGCCAGCTTGAGAATCCATGTCTCAATAAAACAAAACCAGGGGCTAGAGAGATGGACCAGTTGGTAAAGTGCTTGCCATGTAAACCCAAGGACCTGAGTTTGATTTCCTAGAATCTACAGGAAGAAGCTGGGCATGCTGGTGCACCTCCGTAATCCCACTGTGAGAGAGGAGAGACAGGAGGGTTCATGGGCTCCCTGGGTAACCAGCTTGCCTAAGTCACAGAGCCCCTACTTCATGAGAGAACCTTTTTCAAAAAAAAAAACAAGGCACCCCAGTGAGACTGCTCAGCAGGTGAGTGTGCTTGTCACCAAGCCCATGATCTGAGTTCAGTCCCTGAATACCACATAGTAGAATGAGAGAACTGACTTACAGGAGTTGTCCTCTGACCTCTATATGTACACATATACATACATATAAATAATTAAATGAAAAAAAAAAACAAAGTGTATGACTTTTGGGGAAAAACATCCAAGGTTGAACTGTGGTCACCCCCCCACACACACACATCCCTATGTAATCAACAGTAAGGGCTAGAGAGATGGCACAGCACTTAAGAGTTCTTGTTGCTGTTGCAGAATACTGGAGTTTGGTTCCTAGGACCCTAGTTAGGTGCTGTCACTACTGGTGATAACTCTAGCAGATGCAGAGGGTCCAATGTCTTCCTGTGACCTCTGTACACCTACCTTCCCCACACATACACACAAATGCAAATAAAATAGGTTATTTAGGAAATCAACAGGAGGCTGGAGAGATGGTGCAGGGGTTAAGAACACTTGCTGTTCTTGCAGAGAACCTAGGTTCAGTTTTCAGCGCCTACATACTGGCCATCAATTCCAGTTCCAGGGATCCAAAACCCTCTTCTCACTTGTTATGGCATGAGACAAGGATGTGGTGCACATATATATAAAATAAAATAAATCTTTTTTTTTTTTTTAAAGCTAGAAGCCCTGCCAGGCCTCCAGAGCGAGTGCCAGGATAGGCTCCAAAGCTACACAGAAAAACCCTGTCTCAAAAAAAAAAAAAAAAAAAAAAAAAAAAAGTTCAGCCAGGGGGTGGTGCACGCCTTTAATCCCAGAACTCGAGAGGCAGAGGCAGACAGATCTCTCTGAGTTTGAGGCCAACCTGGTCTACAGAGTGAGTTCCAGGACAGCCAGGGCTGTTACACATAGAAATCCTGTCTTGAAAAAACTAAACCAAACCAAGCAAAACAAAAACCCTAGGTGTTCACTCTCTGGCATGACAAAAAGAATATAACATTATTTAAAAATAAAAAGAGCCTAAAGCAAACAAAATCAAATTGAGAGCAAGGATGCTGAAGTCTCCTTTTGCTCCCTTAGTTTGTTGAAGGGGTCTATAACTTAGGCTCAGGTTCATGAAAGTCAACACCTCCGTATTTCAGGCTGTCCTCCAATTTATCCATTTATCCATTATTATCCTTGTAAATACTGCCATTTTCCTATGGAATGGGCCTTCTCTTGTGCTACATGAACATAATTCAGTTTAAGTAAAAGGTACACATTAATGTGTTTGCAGTGAACTATCTTTCTCCCCGCCCCCCTCCAGTGGTGGGGGTGAATCCAGGGCCTTAAGTATGCTTCCCAACTACCCTACCACTGTGCTACACCCCAGATTCAATTCTCTTTTCATTTGTTTTGTGACAGTGTCTCACTAACTTGCCCAGGCTGACCTTGAATTCACTGTCAGACTTCCAACATGCTATCCCTCAGTCTTGAACACCCAAGTAGCTGAGCTGACATGTTGGGGGGCCATCACTCCCTGCTTAGATCTTAATGAATGAGTTTTCATGAGCTCCTGGTAGGGCTCATGTCCCCATTCTGCTTAGCAGGAAACAGACTCTGAGAAAGAAAGCCATAGTGTTTGTTGCCTAAGGCCACGGGAGCAGGAAGGGAGGGAGTCTCAGATTTATCTGTCTTGCTTTTTTTTTTCAAGACAGGGTTTCTCTGTGTAGCCTTGGCTATTCTGGAACTTATTCTGTAGATCAAGATGGCCTCAGAACTCACAGAGATCTGCCTACCCCTGCCTCCTGAGTGCTGGGTTTAGAGGTGTGCACAACCACCACCTGCCATCTGCCTTGCTTCTTAGCACATGCCCTTAGGGAAAGGAATTGAGATGTTGGGGAAGGTGAAGGTGATAGCCCCTGGACGGCTGGTACCCTCTCCCCACAGGGCGTGGACGAGTAGACGTCGCAGGCCTGGCAGTAGGACTGACCTCTGGGATCGTGGTCATCGTTTTGGCTGGCTTGGGAGCCTTTTGGTATCTGCATTACCGACGACGGCGCCACCTCAGAGTCCGGGAGTCCTGTCAGCAAGAGTAAGGGGTCTTCTAGGAGGAGGGAATATGTGAGATGAGTTGAGAGGAAATTGGGAGGCTTGATTTGAGAAGGGCTAAAGTCTGAGGCAAGAGAGCAGTGCTGAAGAGTCTGGAGCCACAGACATATGGAGAAGTAAGTCTGTGGCCATTCCTATCTGTTCAGTTTGAAGTAAGTTCTTTCTGAAGTTGATACCTCTCAGTCTTTTGAGTACCAGATTTCAGTGACATCATTACTGTCACTGTGTAGCCTGTGGTCCATAGCTGTCGGGGCATAGGGGGCATAGTCTTTTCCATGGGTACAGGTCACAGCATGTGTTTGTATGAGCTGAGTTGTCCGGGTGTGTCTTTCCCACCAGCAGAGTCTCACAGGGTGAGATAGTGGTAGCTGGGTATCATCCCAGCACCCAGGAGGCAGTGGCAGGAGGATCTCAAAATCCTGAAGGCCTCTTCACTATAGTGTGAATTCAGAGCTAGCCTGGGTGACTTAAGGAGAACCTTTGTCAAAATAAAATGTGACAAGAGAAGTGAAGGTGTAGATCAGCAGTGGGATGCCTATGAAGGGCTGGGACATAGGATGCTCTGGGTCCTGGGTGCCCAGAAACGTGCCAACCTGAGTCCTATTCCGAGGACCCACATGGTAGAAGGAGAAAACACACTCCCCCAAGTTGTCCTCTGACCATCATTTGTGTGTGCGCATACATAGCTGTATTTTAATTACAAAATAAGATTTAAAGGAATGGATTTGGGCATAGTGGCTCACACATGCAATCCCAATGCTTCGGAGGCTAGGCAGGATTGTTAAGCTGTGAAGCCAGCCTGGGAGACCACGCCTAAAAGAGTGGATTTGGGAAACTTTGGAAGTAAATGTTTCTGTGTTGTGTTCCTGTCTGTGTGGACCTGCTGAATTTTGTCTTGTCTGTTCCTGGTGTCTGTCCACCTGATGTTTCTGTGGATGAGAGTGTACATTTGAGGTTCATTTTCATGTCCTTTGAAGTACTTTCCTCTATCCCCTCCCACCCTCAGTCAGTCTCTTTGTCTGTAACCCGTTGGTCATGTAAGTTTCTTTTTATTTGTAAAGATTTATTTTATGTGTATGGGTGTTTTGCATGCATGTATTATACACCACTTGTATGCCTGGTGCAATCAGAGGGCATCGGATCTCCTGAGACTGGAGTTACAGATGGTTAGGAGGAGCCATGTGGGTGCTGGGACTAGAACCTGGGTCCTCAGCAAGAGCATCCAGTGATCTTAAAAGCTGAGTTCAACTCCAATGTAAGTTTTATACTAACCACTCTTTCTGCCTCTAGGGCCGGGCTCATCACCCCCCTGAGTCCCCCGACGCCCTTGTCTCCACCCTTACCTCCAGGCCTCCCCACCTACGAGCAGGCGCTAGCAGCCTCTGGGGTGCATGATGCCCCGCCGCCCCCTTACTCCAGGTACTGGGTGGGGCTTCTGTCTGGGGATGTAGCGCCCAGGAAGGCAACGCGTGGGAGGGGCGTGTCCCCAAGGGCAGGTCTTGGTGCTTTGGGAAGTCTACAAGGGGCGGGGCTTGCAGGGCAGGGCGGGCCCTACGCAATTGTCTGTAGGGGTGTGGGCCAGCCGTGCAGGAGTGCAGCTTTTCAGGAAGGTGGGGCTTGTGCCTACAGGATTCAGGATTGGCTGACGCACAAAGGGCGGGTCAGTGTGTGGTCTTTGTGGAGGGGGCTAGTTTGACTCTGCACTGTACACTCCCCACCCCCACCCCCACCCTGCTAGCCTCAGAAGGCCTCACTGAAGACCTGCTCAAGAGCGCGGGCTCCCCGAACTGTGCCCCCGATGCACGGCGGATTCCGGAAGTCGCTGGGCCTCTTCGACTCCCCGGCTTCAGTGTGTGCATGGGGGAGTCAGGGTCGTCGGACCCGAGGTCTACCATGACACACGTGTTTCCGCCGCGCACGGATAGATGGTCCGTGCCCCTGCCTCTCCCCCTCGGAGTGGGCAGGCTCCTTTGAAACTCGGACAAGACGTGACTGGACTGTCGCTCGGCCGGTGTCGCGGAGAGCGCACGGAGAGAAGCAGGCCCGTGCACACGCCCGCCTTCGTGTATTTATTCCCCCGCTCCGGCACATGGGCGGTTCGCAATCCAGCATAAAGGTGGAGGGCGCGTTTGCTAAATCCTGGAAAAGGGGTGTCACGCTTGTGTTGCACCCCGGGAAATGGAGTTGAGCTGAGCTGCTATCTACCTAAAAAAAAAAAAAAAGCCCTTTGGAAAACGACGAGATTTAAAAAGAAAGACCCCCCCTACACACACAAATTGAAACAATTCGAGAAAAATAAAACTGAAAACGAACTTGCCCCCGTTCCTGGGCGCATCTGCGCGCGGTGGAGCTTGGTTTCTGTACAGGCGCTGAGCCCTGTACACCCCCCACCTCTGCTAGCGTGCTCTCTCTCTCTCTCTCTCTCTCTCTCTCTCTCTCTCTCTCTCTCTCTCTCTCTCTCTCTTGTTTTTATTTTCTCTATTTC